CTCTCTCTCTCTCTACATTTTGATCTTGGTATAGTGAGATCCAATCCTTGTGCCTTCATTAAAGTGGTAGAGCTTTGCAATACCTCCATTTTGATCCGAAAATCTTGAGGTTTGGAGTACTTCCGAGTTTGTTCATCATCTCCTTTGGGTTCTGAAATTTGAGGTAGGGATAACTACTTATATTTATGATCTTTGACATAAACTTGTGATCATTTTGATTTAATGTTGAAGTTGGGAAATTTTGGGTGTTAGGGTTTCAAAATGTATAAAGAGGGGTTTTGTTCTTTTGACAAATACATGTGTATTTTGGGTCTTAAAATAAGGTTATTAATGTTTATTGATGATATTTGGACCTTTGGGTCAATGTTGAGAAAAGGGAGAGAAAGCCCTAATTTATTGTGATGAATTAATTTGTATAATTAATTTGGGAAAGTTATGGAAATATGAAATTGAGTTAGAAATAATGAAATTGGGTAATTATGAGATTTAATGGTGGAGTTAGATTGGTTAATCACTCACCTTTGAAATTGTGGATAATTTATCTGTTTGATAATTTATTATCTGTTTAGAAATAATTGTTTTGGGCTATCGGTGGAGAATAGTCTTGGTTGTTGTAGACACTGCATGATGATTAGGTGAATTAAAACTAATCAACTGAATATGTCATAGAATATGACGGATGGAATAACACATTGAATATGTGCTTGGCTTGATCATTGTATATGATAAGTGTTTAAATCCATTGTATATGTATGTTGTTTGGGAAAAGATAGGAGATGTACTCTACGGTTTGAGAAGAGATAGGGGATGGACTCCTAAATCGGATTTGGGAGGAGATAGGGGATGGACTCCAGTGATAACTAAGTTGGCCGGAGTGTCCAAGGTGAAAGTCCCGAAATCCTAATTGCGTTTGCATAACGTAGATGAATTGAAGTATTGTTAATATGAGCTGTAGTCTCATTTGAAATTGAATCGTTGAAGTATTGTTTATATGAGTTGTAGGCTCATTATGAACTGTTTGACTGAACAGGGAACCATATCTATGAATTGGTTTGGATAATGAAATGGAAAAAGATGTTTGTTCGTTTATATGAGTTAAACATTTATCAAATGTCAATGTTTTAGTCATTGCTCATATTATGTTTAGCATATCTCTACTGGGCGTTGGCTCACCCAATATGGGACATCATTTTCAGGTTCAAGTGTTATGCTGCCACCAAGGCCTTAGCTTGGATGGTTTCGGGAGTTGAAGACTCTTTTGATTATTTTATTATTTTGGTGATACATGTAAATTAAAACCAAGAGTTTATTTGTGTAGAGAGTTAGAACTCTTCTTTTGTTGTAACCAAGTGTTGACTTGGAAAGTTGTAAGCCTACAGGGTATTTACTTTTGTTGTCAACATATATTACTTTTGTAAGAATACTCCGATGAATGAAAATATGTTTTATTCTCTTGTCTATGAATATCATGAATGTTGGGTTTATATGTATTATTTTGAGGGCGTTACAGATATAGATATTTATATTTGTTTCAAATATTTTTTTAATAATTTTTAGATTTTTTATAAAAATAATTTAACAATGCCATCACTAATCATATTGTATGGGGAAAGTTGAAAAATGTATTGCAATAATTATGAGAGAAGTCAAAAAAGTTTGTGGGTTGGGAGAAGTCATTAATGCTAAGGTTATTTATTTTTTTAAATCAAAAAATTAGAAAATTAGGATTGAGATATTGGAGATCCTACAAAACTTGTGGGTTAGAAACATTTTTTTCCTTATATAATATATAGATAGATAGATATCACGTGTTCATATTCAGAAATTACTGGATAATTACCTTATATAATGGATTTGGATTTCAAATTTCTATGGAATACCACATATCCATATTTTAGAATTACTGAATAATTACCCTATCTAATAGGTTTGGGTTTCAATTTTTTATAGCTTTGGAAAGTTGATTGGTTGTTTTGAGGGTGATTTTGTGAATATTAAAAAGTTATTGGACTCGTTTGTAATTAAAGTAGAGACTGCCGTTACGGAAGGTTTTGAAATTCCGTTGGTACGGTTGGTGTTGGTTTTGGTTTGGTCCGTTTGTTGGGTTTGTAGTCAAAATTTTTTCCTCTAGAAGACGTGTTGTTCCTTGTTTGTTATAATTGTTTTTGAAAACTGTTGTAAGAAGTTATTTATTTTTTAAAAAATGTCCCATTTCAAGAAAAAGTTTGACCAATTTTCAGAGTTCTCAAAAAAGCTGATTTCATTGTATTCTAAAATTTTTATTAATCACAATGATAGGAAAATGATACTCAAAACCAAAAAAATTAAATAAAAAATAAAAACAATACCAAACAGACTTTTCTCTTTTTTTTTTTCGGTAGGTTTAAGAAAATAAATATAAATTTGTCAATTTTTTGTTAGTTTAGTTTCTTATAAAAAATAATAATAATATTTTTTTAAATAATATATATCAGTAATTTCATTTTTCTTTCCTTTTTCATCAATGAATTTTGGAGGATTTGGTAATAGACCCCTCAATATCTAACTTATCCTTAAAAATGACATAAATTATATAGATCCTTTCAAAATCTCTTAATATTTTAAAACTTATTTCTTTTATTATAATACCCTCATATATATATGCGTATATCAGACTGCAATCACTCTCTTTAATCTCAATCTCTCTTCTCTCTGTCTCGTTCTAATCACTGTTGCTTTTCATCGATGCCACCGCCGCTCTCCATTGGCGCCACTACCACTTACCATGAAACTCTTTTTTTACCATCTTCATCACCACTGTCGCTCATCGCATCCACAACCTTAGATCTGATATCATTTACAATCATTATTGCCGAAAAATGACGATCCGTGACAATTTGCAAAACCTCAGATTTGAGATCCTTTACTCTCTCTCTCTCTGTCTCTCTCGTTTTGATGGTTCGTGCTATCTCTATATGTTTGTATGTGTTACTCATCATTTATGCTCTCTCTCTCTCTCTCTCTCTATCTTCTTCTCATGATGTTCTTTTCTTCGAACAATAAAATTTTTACTTTGGTTCATGACACAGCACTCTCCTATAAAGCCATTATCGTAGCTTGTTTCAGAATAAAATTTTATTTTGAATCATAGTACACTTCACTTAGATTTAGAGTAAAATTTTACTTTGTAATAAATATAATTAAAAAAAAAGACTAAAATTTTAAAATAAAATTTTGCTATCATTAATCAAATCAGCATGTTGTTAACTAGAATAAAATTTTACTATTGCAAAAAATAAAATACGTACTAAATCAATGAATTAGAGTAAAATTTTACTTTTAGATCTATAAACAAACAAAAAACTATTGATTTTTCATTGCAATATCTCGATTTCTCTTTTTTTCTATCAAATCTAAGTTCTTTTTATTTTAGATCTGAAGTTATTTATCTCAACTATGAGTTCATAAATATCAAATATGAGATAATAGTGGTTTGACGGTAAAAACGGTGATTGTTGACCGACAGTGAAAATGAGCGACGCCGGTAGACGATAAAGATGGTAGAGGAGATGAACAACCATCAAGTTGGTGAAGATAGAGAAAATGCCATAAAAGAAATAGAGAATATAATGATTAGGGGTGAGCATGGTCCGGATTGGACCGGATTGAGGTAAAACCAGGACCAATCCGTTATCTACGGTCCTTAAAAAATTGGAACAAATCCAATCCGTTTCAATCATGGAACCAATCAATTTAAACATGGATTGGATCGGTTTAGGACCACGGATTCACATAATTAAATAACAAATATATATATATATATATAACACTTTAATTTCATAAAAATATAAATATAGCGCTATATTAGTTTCACAATAGCAACATGTTTTTCTATAATAGCGGCATACTGTTCTAAAATTTAAACAACCATAAGAAAACTAGTTTCACTATAAGTATTTAGACCATTACAAATTAAAACTAAAAACTAACAAATAAAAGAAGATATTATACGGGTTTAGGTTTTATATAGAATAAGAAAAGATATTATGGGGGATGATGTATAATAAAAATATAGATTATTTGTATACGGTCCGGATCGGTTCCAATCCGGAGCCGTGGAGTTCAATCCGGAACCAATCTGTGAACTACAGATTTTTAATTCTTCAATCCGGGACCGAACCACGAATTCAAAAAATAATCCAAACCTATCGGATTTGACTGGACTGGATCGGATTACGGATTTCACGGATTCCTTGCTCAGCCCTAATAATGATTAAATAATAAATTTTGTCTTTTATACAAGACTTTATAATGATAAAAAAGTTTTAAAAGTACTATTAATTAATTTATTTATTTGTCCTTTTAACAAGAAAATGAAGCTAAGAGGGATTTAGGGTCAAATTTATCAATTTTGAATGGAAGATTTGGTAAAAACTCCATATAAAACTTAAATGCATTAAGGATAAACACAAAAAAATTTTCTTAAAAAGTCCAATACATACCACTATTACCAAAATATTAAACTTTAACATAATATAAATTTTATCTAGATGTCAATTTTTAAAATTAATATGTTTAGAATCATCTAATCAAGATTTATCAAATAAAATCCATATTGATTATGAAATTCTTTAAAAAATAATTCTTATCATTGAAGTTAATGTAAACAATAATATGTTACTCCGGCAATATTGTTTAACAAGAAAATTGAATATTTTTATTCTTGCTCAATTTTGCGCACTTCCTCCTTAGGAAATTTACGAAGCAAAATAAATTAAATTATCTTTTTCCCCAGACAAATGTTAAATGGAGAAATTTTGACTAAATTTCCGATTTTGAATCCAAACACAACATTATAATTTCTAGTTAATTTTCTTTACATGTCTTTTTTCTTTCCTTTTAATTTTCCTTCACAAATCCAAATTCAAATACAACTTGTTTACCATTTTCATTTTCTGTCACTTGCAATTTTTCATGAGTTTGGAAACATAAACAAAGAAAATTTAAAAAACATCCACATCTTCAGCAGAAAAGAACCAATTATGATTTTGAAGAAAAAACAAGCAGGGTATATCAAAACCATTATCAAGCTAATATAGACTGCTAAACTAGATGACGGTTCAACAACTTTGATCCAGATCTATTCTGTACAAGCTACTTGCAATTATAATATCGTATAGAAAAAGGAAAAAAAAACACGACACATGGCGAATCTCATTCGTAAATTTGTAACCGGCCCATCTTTACCGGCCAAACTATCTTCAGTTACAGAGACAACCAAGGATTCTTGAATATCCTTGGAACTACAGCTCACACCAACGCAATCTGACGACACATTGATAAACTTGTCACGGGCTTGACTCAGTTTCTGCTGGTTTCAATTCAGTATCGGCTTGGTTAGAAGTTGAGGATTTCTCGTCTGCAGTAGCAGACTGATTTCCATGATCAGAAGTCGAGGATTTCTCATCTGCATCAGCAGCAGCAGCAGACTCGTGGGGTTTCTTGAACTGCACCAAGATCATGGTCATGTTGTCACATCCCTCACCGCCAGCAGTAGATGGTGCCAAACACCTATCAAGTACTCTTTCACATACCACAGAAAGTTTGCTTTCCTGCATAATTAGGAATAAAAAAACAAACAAATTTCTATATTTGATTGAGGTACCCAAAAATTTGTATTGCCAAATTCTACTTCTGCAAGAATTCTAAGATTGTCAAAAGCTCAAAAAACTGGTCACCAAGGTCAGCAACTCTTTCAACAACAGGTGGGTAATGTATTATAACAAACAATTTATGATGTCGACAGTGAAAACTCAAATATCAGGATTGAAAAAATGAAAACCATGCATATGGTAAATGTACCACCATTGCTACACATGGCCAGTGGGGGTTGCCAAAGCTTTGCCCAAGAGTTGATGTGTGGTGAGAAATTTATGTATTACCAACAATACTTGTGTACCCAGAGAGACAACCACAATCCCAATCAATATAACACATGCTTTCTCTATCTTTTCTTGCAAGGAAAATCTTATTCCAATTTCAGTATCAATCACTAAGCATGCATTTTTGCTTTTGGTCCGTGCCAAAAAAAATGCATGTACTTGCTTAAGTAGCCTCTTCAAAGTATACTATTGATAAGAATTACCACACTTTATTATATACACCTTATTCCACCAATACAAATGCACATAACAAAGAGAGATCTCACACACTTACTGTGTTCAACTGCTCCCGTAGAAAATCTACTAGCTGCTGGCTTGACATGCAATCCCTGAAAAGAATTCAAAATCCAAGTGATTATTAGATATTTGAAATTTGATCGACAATTCTACTGGCAAAAACACTAATTCTATTGGTTTATAGGAAGAATTTAAGCCAGCTTGAGAGCTTTACAACAAACTACTTATACATAAACAAAGTCTAGCAGCATATAAACCCCAAAAATCCTCCCAATGTATCATTATAACATATACAGTTTTTAATTTTTTAGTGTTGGGCAGGGGCGGGGGCAAGAAGCTTTGTTGCCAATCTTTAAATGCATCAAAATGAATAATTTTTTTCATTATTAAGTGAAAAATAATATATATCACACAGTTCAGGTTTCTCAGAGTGTAATTCTTAACCGCTGGATTTGCTCAAAACTATTTTTTCTCCAAATAATTAGGATGCAATTATAATCCAAATAGAGCACAAGTAAAAACCTGCAATTCTAGCTATTGTAGGATACAGATCTAATGTAGGACTATTCTTGTATTACAACAATCTGAAGAGAAAAAGAAAAAATAAAAAAATTAGAATGGAGAGGATAAGATGCTGCTTACCAGATACCATCGCAAGCCAGCACGATAAATTCGTCATCATCACAAAGCTCAACCTGTTTGGAAAAATAAACCATATCAAAACTAGGTGAACAATATTTTCTGTTCAATCTTCAAGGTTTCTTACTAAACATCACAGGTAACTTTATTTATCTATTTACTTTCTTTTGTGAGTGGGAATGGGGGCGGGGGAGAAGAAGAAACAAGAAAAACACACGAGTAACTTGAGATAATATCAATAAGTACCAAAACAAACAATCTGTACATGGATACATGCTCCGAAAATAAGAGTTAATGGTAACTGAAACATCCAACATAAATGAATCATCAGTGGGACCAAAATGATAATGAAATCAGTTGAGTAATATATACTTAGCAGCAAACAATTCACCAAAGGAATTCATTTTGGTCCCACTGATGATTCATTTATATTGAGTAATACATACTTAGCAGCAAACAATTCACCAAAAATTACATATTGTTTTGTGCCCCTGAATAGAGTAGAATGGAAAAACAAGTTTCATGCAGGTGAGGACAAGCAAAATAGTTAAGTTATTTACACACAAAAAAAAAAAGGGTTCATGGAGTTCTGTTATATGTTACTGCTTTTTTTTTTTTCTTTTTTCTTTTTTCTTGTTTGGATCCTCAGAGATAATGAACATCCATTGATTTTAGAAAAACAACACGACAAATAATTATTGAAAAGGAATAAGACACATACAGTATTTATGTCTGGGTTGGCAGTCACAATTTGCTTTTCAGCAGGCAAAAACTTGTTCTGCTTGAACTCCATGTCACCTACAATAAAAAGGAAAACCAGATTAACAACTCACTACTCAGACCATCACGTGTGTGTGTGTGTGTGCGTGTGTGCACGTTCACACGTGCATACCTTACTAGATGAAGCGAGAGTAATCCTATAGGCTAAGTTTCAGATTAGACTGCTGATTGAAAAAATGGAAACCAAATAAAAGTTCACAATTAGTGTAGTGTATTACCTATGGCTCTTGCAAGATTTAAACTGCCATTGACACGTCCTGCATGGATAAAACCACCAGCTTTCAAGATCCTCTCTCTTTCAGCCTCAAGATCGGGTTTGTGATCTCTGGAAAGATTGTATGCCTGCATAAGTGGAGCCACATTGACAAAGATAAACATCCATATATTTCATCATGAATCTAAAGTATATATGACATTATCCATAACAAACATGCATGTCCTATATGAAGAAGTTTTTTAATACAATGAGCTGTCTATCCAACTATTAGTCAAAATGAGGTAACATCTTGCACTGCCCATAATGTTCAAGTCAAAAGTGCAGCTATGGCCAACATCTGTTTAAGAGCATACAACATTTCCTTTGAACCATGCAAAAAACCAACAAAAAATTTTTTTTGACAAAAATCCTCTTTGATTGCTCATTACCTGGCCCTTCCTAGATATTACACAACGAGAATCACCAGCATTAGCAACGACAAGTTGGCTGTTTTTAATAACTGCAACACAGGCTGTGCACCCCGATGTTGGTCCAGAGAAGTCAGAGTGAGGCCCCTGATACCAAAGAGTGGAGTAAATCAATCACAAGTACAAGTGCATGAAGAAAAAGAGGGTAAAAGAAAGGAAAACTCATCAAGCACATGTTCACAAAACATATCCAACTTCACAAGGACAAAGTTTGAAACATCTAAAAGCAAATATAATATAGCATTTCCTAGCAAGAAACTCTATTTGTTAACATAACTGTACTGCACTATTAACAGACATTATGGTTGCCAATTGGAGCTATCTAGATAAAGGTTTTTTGCGTCTAATTCAAAATATTAAAAAAAAAACACCCAGTTAGTCATCATAAGGGAAATATGTACATTACAAAAAAAAAAAATTCCATAATTTTACATGAACTGATTCTGTTTCCAGGTTCACCAAACATGACTAGGAATTGATGTATAACACCACAATACTATGGTTAGTGAGTTGCTCTGAACTTTTCATACGCCAGACATGAGTTATGTCCAACTTAAGTTCCTATGTATTAATTTTAATAAACAGGATACTCATACCAAACATACAAAAAGTAAACGTTGTATTTGCACAAATCAGCATGGATCCTGTATAAGAATGATAACTTCTAGTGTCGACATTTGGTGTAAACAAGTACCTCCTCAAAAGCCCAATCATCCACCTGGTCATGCCCCTCACCACTTCTTGGAGACCATATCAAACCCTCAATCATACCAGTAAACTTGTTTATTTTATCTCCCAGAACAGCTAACTCCCTCCACCCTCTTTGTCCACGCATCATTTCATCCATTCTGCATCACCAAATTACAACTTTACTTCTTACAGAAACACAGAAATGCCAGTGAGAAACAACATCAATGTAAGTGCCACGGCAAAGAACTCAAATTTCAACAAATAACCTGAAGAAAGCTTTATGAACTGAAGTTCCTATATCTCCAGCAGAATATGCTTCATGCTTAAGCACTTGCTGATGAAGATACTTGGCACAAAACTTAGCAACAACCTTACCTGCAATTTAAACGGTTTAGGAGAGTATCAATAATTAAATGTGCCAAATTATTATCACCATATTTGTATGTACATGCAGGGTTGAATAAGCAAAAATAGTTCATTCATGGAAGAATTTTTCAAAGTTCACAAAGCAACTTATAAATCTGCAGGATAGAAAAATGTGGAGATAAAGGAACAACCTAAATATATAATAGAAGATTAAGACTGTAACAGAAGTTCGGTCACACAACTGAATAACATATTATGGGTTGTTCAAACAATAAATTTCCTTATACTTGACGGCTTGAACTACCATTGCTCCCTGGTGTATGAGGAATATTTTTCAACTAGAAACTCATCAACTACAAACCCTGAGATGCGGATCATCAAAGGCACATTCTGTTCAAAATGGGAAAGGAGAGGGGAGAAAAGAATATTCTAAAATATACAATTCATCAATTTAAATTACCAAGCCTCCCATTTCAAATCACACTGAACTTCCCATTAGAGAACTTGAATCTATTTGAAGAAATATTGCAGAACCAAAAATTGCATTTCCTCCAATAAGGTTCTCAATCAGAGAAAGCATCATCAATTAAAATTTTAAATAATTTCTAAATTAAGCTTTGTGAAATGGTAATAGTGCCATCCATAAGGAACCAATCTACATACCTACCAAAAACATAAATAAATAAAGAACAAGCATGAAATGCAGCAAAGGACTACCTAAATCACCTACTGCCTAATCAGTTACTTAAATATTGAACTACCAGAACATATGAGTGATAAAGCATAACAAATCCAAATTGCAAGCAAAACCTATTCATAAAATATGAAATCAAATAAGATCACCTTTCTCTGTGTTAATAAATAATGATCCCCATAATAACAACAATTGTAGAATTGAACATTAGATTCTTACCTCCATGACCATCGTAAACACCAAAGAACGATGTGGAAGCATCTAGATCAGGATATGCAGCATGCTAAAAAAATGGAGGGGCAAAAAAAAAAAAAAACATAAGAAACCAATTATGAAAATAAATAAAATACAAATTCATAGTATTAAACCCAAATGATGGAGATAGTATCACACAACTTCCACAAGTAGGAATTTACCAATAATGACCACAAAAACATTAATTTGCAATAACATGGCAACTAGAATGAAGCCTCTACAACTATCATGACACTTCAAGGAAAGACCAAGACAAAATTATTGATTAGTTTAAGATACCCATCTTTTCATTATATCAACAAGACTTGAGCCCTTCTTCCAAAAAATCAATGCATCAAAATTTTAACAAAATATAGCCTATAGCGACTTATAATTTTGTACTAAAACTAGTTTTCAAACCCAATGGGTTTTTTCCCTAAGTTTCATAAATTTAACTTCTCTGACATTTCTAGATTGTTCTGTTGTTGCCTATTATAGATGTCAACTCCTAACACATTTAAGTGATTACTTCTCTTGATATTTTGCACAATGATTTGCGACTAACAATCACAAGATTAAGACATTCAACATCATGCACTACAAAATAATGATGCTCATCCAACAGAAAATACAATCTAACTATTTTCAGAACCCTCTCACTTTCTCCTGAAAATCAACTTCGTCCAGTTTCAAAACAAAAAAATAAAAATAAAAAAAAGAAATGAAATTCAACTTGGTCCATTACATATTTTAGATAAACAAGTAGACAGATAATTAAATCTGCTGCTTTCACACAACAAAGTGAACATAGTTGATTAATAGAGATTGAGATTTCATTTAGAACTCACAGCATCTTCCATGGTCGCACGCCAACCTTGCATGGAGGATAAACCATATCTGATCCTACCATTCTCACCATCTTCAGAGAACTTTTCAGTTTTAGGAGTACTGAGGTATATACCCATCTTTAGCTGGAGCCAAAAACACTCTCAATAAGAAACCAATTATACTAAAGAAACTCTTGATTCTTGATCACAAGAACAGCATTTTCTTGCAGCAAAACTTCATGAATTTTATCACTGCATCAGTGTAAACTATAGTGCTCTGCAGAAAAAAGTAGAGTAATCCAACTCTTATGTCAAATATTTGCTAATGTCTATGTACCCATGAAAAATTAAAAAAACCCAAATTCCTAACGTCAAGAAGAATTGATGCCCACAAGAGAAATGAAAACAAACATGATGAAATGCGCAAACCTTAATCCCCATTTAATTAATGAGAAAATGTAGGAAAACGAAAGATAATAGGAAAACAAAGGATAATCAATAATAATAGGAAAATCTACTAAGCCAAATCAGATCAAAATCAGAATTTTAGTTTTCATCTGTAATTTCAAATCAAGTTAAAATCAACAAAACCCTAGATTTGACATTAAATTGACAACAAAAAGCCTCAATCAACACCGATCTATAAAACCAAACTTTCATAAATATATCAAACAAGAAATAAATCAACTAACATTCAATGTTCCAAGTACCAAGATAAAAAAATTCAATAAAGCAAAAAACTTAACAAAGACCCAGATGATCGATTGACCGGTAATGATCAAGAAAGATAATACTTGATGAAAATAAAACTGAAAGTGAAAATGGTATGTTACTTACATGCCCAATTGGGCGTACTAGCACTCAATGTTCTAATTAGGAACCAAGTAAAAAGAAACAAAAAGAAGCACGTAGAGGATCTCAAATCTTTACCAGAATTAACAAAAACAAAAATCACTTTTTGTTCAGATAAAGAACAAGAAAGCAACACGTAAATGGATGAGAGAGAGAAACAAGTGTAAAAAAGAATTGCAGATATAGAGAGAGAAAGACGAACAGAAAGTGAGGAGTAGTAAGCGACAAAAGGAGAGAGAGAGAGAGAGAGAGAGATTATGCTACTATGTATAATGTATGTATGTATATCATTCATTCATTCATTCATTCTGTTATGATCCTTTCTTGACTCCGTGAAAAGATTATTGATGACGGGTTCGATTCGATAATAAACCAACTTTCTCTTTTATTTTGTATTTCGTATTAAAGTTGTGGGATTTAATGATAAATAATTTGATTTTATTAGGTTTTTTTTTGTAAAAATTGCCCATTGAAATATGAAGAATGAAAAATAAAATCTCACTCATATTCAGGAATGGCAATGAGAGGAGTTTGTAATTTCCGTCCCTGCCTCCTATATATCAGGACAGAACAAATCAGGTTAGTGTCAAAAATGATTAATTTATGAATAATGATTTATAATTAATAAAGATTAAAAAATATAAAATGAGAAATAAATAAATAAAAATTAATGTTAATTGTTACACTTCAGTATATTAATCTTATTGGCCCCTTTTAGAAAGTGGGTTATAATCCACTTCCTAGATTATAACTCAATTCCTCTCCCACAAAAAAACTGTTTATAAACAGTTTATAAGCAGCTTTTAATCAAAAAGTTTAATATAACCATCTTTCCAAAATAGCTCATTATATAGAAAAAAAATAAAAGATATATAAATATATATATATATTATAAAAGTAGGGATATTTACATACAAGTACTAATTTATGAATTTATATTCTATTAAGTCCTAATTAAGATTTTTTAGACAAGTCTTATTAAATTTTTAATAATCGCAATTGCTCTTCAAATAATAATTGCTCATCATTTATGATTATTTATAAAGTAACATGATGATTTGACATTTATTTTTATTTTCAAAACTTTAAAACATCAATTTTCAAATTGAAAAAATTAAAAAAAATAATGTTTTTTTTTTAAAAAAAATTGAATTATTTTTTGTGAAAATTTAAAATTTTATGTCTACAAAAGAGCATGATGATGGAACATTGATATGTAAAATTGAAAAAAAATAAAAAATAAAAAAAATGATAATGTTTTAAGTTTTATTGGATAGTTAAATCAAACCAATAAGTAGAATGACAAAAACGTTTAATCTCATGTTCTATTTTTTTTTATCAGTTAGTGAAACAATTATATGAAACATTACCATTTAAAAATGATAATGTTCTTAGTTTTTAAAATTGAAAAAAACTGATAATATTCTCAGTTTTACTCAATATGACTTATTGATTCAAAAAATCTTAGATAAGACCTAAACTACTATAACATTTGTAAATAAGACTTTTAGATAATTAACTCATAAAAATATATTTAATAAATATAATTAAGCAAGAATGGGTTAAAATTATTTTTTAAAAAGATGATGTGATGTATGCAGTGTAAGAAAATAATCCCAATTTTATTGCTTTAAAAATATAAATTATATATATATACATGTGATATTAAATAGTAAAGTGAACAATCACTTTGATAATTGAGATAATCATTAGATTAGAAAAAAAAATAATAACTTAAATTAAATAATTTTTATTTATTTTGCACTTAAATGTATTTAGAAAGTGAAATTATAAATTAAAAAACAGGTAATGGTTTGTTTTATTCTAAATATGAAATTGAATGTGACCCATATTTCAGATTTATAATTTTATAGAATTAAATGAGTTTGTTGGACATTCAATGTGTTTTGCCCCCCACTCTAATCATGCGATTAGTAGGTCTATCATTGTCTTCATTCTAATTATTATACTCACTTTATTCCAAAATAGTCTTATATTTTATTTTTTATTATTCTAAAATATTAGTCTATTTTCAAAAATTAAGGACTAAAATAATACGAATTTTTTATTTTGCCTTTCTTTTAAATTCACTAACCTTACAAAAAATATAATTTTGACAATTGATATTTCTCAAAGAATGTACTATTAAAAGGATAATTTTGAAAAATCAATTTTTTTTAAAGTGCAATAATTGTACTACCAAAAGAGTTAATTAGTTTTTTGAAAATTAAGGCCTGGTTTGAGGTGTATCAAAAAAGTCCAAAAAGTTACAAAAAAAAGTAAAAAAGTTATCACTATTCACAAATTAAAAATATTAAAAAATTAATATACATAATATTTTTATCAAACAAAATTTACACAATTTTCGGGGCTGAATTGACCCCGTGTAGTGAGGGGAAAAAAAAAAAGAATTACATATATAAAATCACTAAGTTTGATGGAAATATTGGGCCCGTGGGGGCCCACCACGGGCCCCGTTTTGATAATCCGAACCACTGAATATGTACAACTCGTCCAGAACTATATGTCATTAAAAATCACGTTGATCGAAAATCGGTAACTACATGATCAAATCAGTTTTGTATAAAAAATGGATGGTGTTATAGTTAACAATTGACAAAAAAAACTCACACGATCAGATAGTTATTGATATCCAATCAACGTAATTTTTTACAAATATATAGTACTCAACGAGTTCTACACATTGAACGGTTCCAATTAGTAAAACGGGACCCGTGGTGGGCCCCCATGGGCCAAACAGCACCGTCTAATTTATGCCCGAAAAGGAGAGAATCAATCTCCTACACTATATCCTCTGCCGCGCTGCCCATGCGTGTACTACTGTACGGGCTATTCCATCTATAACTTTCCTTATACACTTATTTATACAATTTTTTAATACATATTTTTTCATAAAAAATCAAAATGTTAACCCAAACATCCATATTTTTTCCCTCAACTTTTTAGTCTAAAAAGACAAAAAGTGCACTTATTTAGGACACCCCAAACAACCCCAGTTTTTTGTTTTTCCTATTTTTTTTTGTTTTAAGTGAATATTTTTAAAATTTTAAGTAATTTTTTTTACTTTTTTAAATGCATCTTATTTAGATGTATCTAAATAGTAAAATATTGAAATTTTTTTTTTAAAGGTTTTTGGTATTAAGAGTTTATAGCATAAACGATATCTAATATTTTCATAATGTCTAAAATCCCTTAGCATCAATCTAAAGAAAATTCGATTCAGAAAATTTCTGAAAATTTCTTTGGACTTCCCACTCTCCAAAGAAATTCACTCTCCAGATAAATTCTAAACTTTTCAGAGAAATTTCTAACTTAAGCCTTCATCATCTTCTTTGTCCAGAGAAATTCTGGACTTCTTGAAGAAATTTCTAAAGTCTTCATCATCTTCTTTGTCTAGAGAAATTCTTAGAAGCCTAGAGAAATTTCTTTCCAGAGAAATTCCTAAAGTCTTTATTTTTATCTTCTTCCTCCAGAGAAATTCTAGGAATCCAGAGAAATTCTAAAATAAAATCACTTCCCAAAAAATACCTTGGAATGAACAATTCCCAAATGAGTAAAGAAGAACAATTTGACAAGAAAACAAACTTAGCAAAAGTTTAGACATAAACAAACATAATTCATATTCAATATGACCAAATCTGAGAGGAAAATTTCACATAAACAAAACAGAACAAGAACCAATCCCCATTCAATCGCATAAATTATAGTGAATATGAGCTAAACATAGGTTGTAGAAAAACATACAATTCACAGACGAAAAAATTGAAAACCAAGTTAAATTAGAGAGACACCCCTGCACTTGGCTCAACCTGTATCTTTGTTTCTTCCTTCCCACTATCAACCTCTTGGTGAAGCTGCAATAGCTCTTTGACTCTGATTATTCTTTGCTTTCCCATTAACCTTTGCACTATCAACACCTACAGCATTAGCTCCACCAAACCATATCTTTTTTGACAATTCATACCCTTTTTGCTGATGAGCCTTCGGAAAAGTCCGATCCTCGCCCATTTTACTTTTGCTAGCATTGTTCTCATACCTCTTCTTTAACCTCCCCACTTTTCTAGATAATTGGGTCTTGCTAACATCAATGTGCAACTATTTCTTGATGAAATCATAAAAAGCATTCATATTAGTGAGTGGATCAGACCCTTTTTTCAAAGTACATTAAATCATACCTTTCAAAATTACAATCTCAACGAGTGGTTGACCGTTGTTTGCCATTTTTGTAGAGAGAGAAGAAGAAGATCGATGAGAGCTAGGGTTTAAACAGTATCATAGTAGAGAGAGAGATAAATGAAGTTTGATTTGAGATAATCAAATTTCTCTGTGATATATAGGTGTGGGGTTGATGGACTTTAGACATCATAAAATAATATTATGAATATCTTTCATTACTAAAAATTGGAAATGAACCTTAGACTAATTTTCACTAAAATATTTGTGAAAAAATTAATAAATACATAAAAATACAAAAAAATGTATTGAATTTTCATTTTTTTTTTTGTATTTTATGGTATTTAGTGTGTTTTTTTAAATTTTTTTTTACAAATATTATACTTTTTAAGTATATTTATGTTAGGTGTGTCTAAAAATTAAAAAAATATTGCTTAAAATATTTAAAAAATCATTGAAAACATTAAAATACGAAAAATAAAAAAATAAAATTTTCTAAAAACTATTTTTTAAAAATCAGAACCAAACAAAGTGATTATTATTTTGGAACGTAATGAATAGTTAGTTCCCTTATTGTGTTTCAATTGATTAGTACCCTTTTAGTGTGTTTTACAATTTTGGTTATTAAAATTGAGCGGAATAAAATGATTATTTTATCAAAAATTTTATTTTTACATTTGATTGAGTTAAAAAAATAAAAATTATATTGCTTATAAAATCATTATTCATTAATTATTAAAAAAAAATGATAATTCTATAAGAAAGTCTAAAGAAGAATTGTTTCATCCTATCTTATTTCAATGAATTACAAAATGGAGAGTCTGGTTTGTTTGTATTTATTCTTAATTCTTTCTTCCCTTAAATTTATATAATGAAATTAAAAAAAAAAGGATTAAATGTAATGAAATGATTAGGCACACCATACCAAGTGGGGTGGGAGAACATAGAAATTATTGAGTGGTGTAAGATCAGGATCAGCTAACACCCTAACAGTTTATTGATTGATGAATGATCTGATGAATGGACAATAATATCCTAATACGATGAATGGACAATA